CTACTACTTTTAGGTAAAAACATGTTCAATTCATGGTTAGGAGGTGTCTATCGGTGGAAAAAAGGAAAAAATTGAGGCTTATCGGTGTCTTCAATCTTCATTGTGACGACTCAACCGAGCTCCGCCATTCCTCCTTCGTAGCTTATGGCTTTTTTGGTCACTCTGCATCAGAAACAAGTTATGCAGTTAAGGTGTGGGGAAAATAGAGTGAACAAAAAGAGAATTTAGCTTACCATAGCGTTTTCTGATTTCTAGTGTGGCAACTCAGCCGAGCTCCGCCCTATGCTTCCTCGGGTTACGACTTTTCCTTAGGTTTTTTTATATTAAAGATTGTTTTGGTTAGCTTAGAATGAAAAAATGGGACACACAGGAGCAAATCGCACTTACTGGCGTTGATTTGGGTCTTTGGTGCGGCGACGCTGGTGGTTGGGCTTCTCCTCCGGTCGCCTTTCTTCTTCTTCTCTAACGAGCAGCCGTGTGGCTAGGGTTAGGGTTTCAGTGGTAAAGGAGTTTAAATACTCCCCTTCCCTTGATCTGGGCCATCCATCCGAGTCCACGTGGTGCCTCCTCAGCCATCTGATCGCACCTAATAGGGGAATGGATCTGGGCCGTTCGATCAAAGACGTGTCGACCATCCAATCGCGCCTAATAGAGTAATGGATCTAGGTCATTCGTGCGCGTGGGAGTGAGCACGGGTCGATGGATCACCCAGGCACACGAATCGCCCACGTGGCTCCTACATGGAGCCCGAGTGTGTTCGCCACGCGGCACGTTTTGACTTGCTGTACTGTTGATATAGTTGTCCTATGTTGTAGCATTTTCTCTTTTTATGATTTAGCCCTGTTTTCAAACTTTCTTGTCAAATACATCCTCCTTTTATTTACAGTTTCGCCATGTTTTTCAAAATTATTTTCAAACTCATCCAAAATCCATATTTCTCAAAAAATTCAAAAAATTAAAATTAATTATTATTATTATTATTATTAAAAATTAAATTATATCATCCCGATCCTAAATTCCGGGCTCAACTCTCCCCCCTTAAGAAAATTTGATCCCTCAAATCGCTGCCCCCTAGTTAAACAATTGAGGATATCTGGCCCTAAAGTCTAATTCCAACTCCCATGTGGCATCGTCTTGTGAGTGATTTAGCCATAAAACTTTGATAAAAAGGATTTCTCTGTTGTAAAGTACTCTGCTCTTTCAGTCCAAAATACTAACCAGTACCTCCTCATAAGATAAATCCTTTTGAAGTGAGAGTGGCTTGTAGGACAAAACATATGAGGGGTCAGTGTTATACTTACGTACCATCAACACATAGAAGACATTATGGACCCTACATTGTTCTAAAAGTAGTGCTAGTCTGTAGGTGGATATTTCAATTCTATCTAAAATTTCAAATGGTTCGATGAATTGGGGATTCAACTTTCTCCTCTTTCCAAACCTGGTGATGCCCTTAAAAGGGGTGACCTTAAGAAACACTCGATCGCCTTTCTCAAATTCCAAATCTCTCATTCGGGTGTCCACATAATTTTTTTGTATACTCTGGGCAGTTTGAATGTTTTTTCTAATCTTGACAATCTTTACTGTGGTCTCATCTACAAGATCTGGACTAATCAATTTTTTGTCATCCACCTCTTCCCAATAGATTGGTGACTACAAGGTCTGCCATACAATGCCTCATACGGAGCCATACTAATACTTTCTTAATAACTGTTATTGTAGGCAAACTCCACCAGGAGTGGGTGGTCATCCCAGTACTCTCTGAAATCTAGAACACAAGCTCTGAGTATATCCTCTAGTGTGTGAATAGTTCGCTCTAATTTTCCATATGTCTGGGGGTAGAATGTTATGTTAGGAGACAATTTCATCTCCATTGCTTATTGAAGACTTATCCAAAACTGAGAGGTGAACCTAAGGTCTTTGTCCGATATCACTGTCACTAAAACTCCATACAGTTTGACTATCTCCTGAATATAGCTTCTACCTAGCTTGTCCAATGGATCTATCATTCTGATGGCCAGGAAATGGGAGGACTTAGTGAGTCAATCAGCAATCACCCTGATCATATCATATCCTGAACATGCCTTAGGTAATCTTGTTATAAAGTCCATTGTGATATGTTCCCATTTTTACTCTGGATTTTGTAGCGACTGAAGTAGTCAGCCCGGACGTTGATGCTCTGCTTTGATCTATTAGCATACAAGGCATTTGGAGATGAAATCAGCAATTTTTCTTTTCATCTTGCTCTACTAGAATTGGGACCGCATGCCTTGGTACATCTTAGTACTTCCCAGATGCATAGTAAACTTCAAACTATGAGCCTCTATCAAGATATCTTTCTTTAACTCACTATCACTAGGAACATATAACCTATCCTAGAACCTGAGGAACCCATTTGCGGAGACTCAGAATTCTGAATTCAAACTCTGTTTTGTGTCCTTTCTGAGATCTACTATAGTGGAATCGGTCAATTGAGCCTCTCTTATTCTCTAGATTAACTCAGGTTGGACTGTTAAGTGAGCTAGATATGTGGCCATTTTTAAATTTTGGAGTTGTATATGTTGTGTGGCCTTTATCATCATGCACTCAGAGACCATTATATGAGCTAACATACCTACACTCTTCCTGCTGAGGGCATCGACCACCATATTACCGTTACCCGGATGGTATAGGATCTTACAATCATAATCCTTAAAGAGTTCTATCCAACACTTCTTACGCATGTTGAGGTTCTTCTAGGTTAATATATGTTTTAGACTCTTATGGTCTATATAGATTTCGAATATTTCCTCATATAAGTAATGGCTTCAGGTTTTTAATGCGTGGATAATGACGACAAGCTCCAAGTCGTGGGTGGAGTAATTCTTTTAATGAGCTTTCAACTGCCTAGACCCATAAGCTATGACTTTTTCGTACTACATCAGAACACAACCCAGTTCTTGGTAAGACACATCATTATATACTGTATACCCACCTGTTCCACTCGGTAGAGCCAATACTAATGCGGTGGTCAGTCGTTCTTTAAGTTCTGTAAAGCTTTTTTCACATTCATCATTCCATTCGAACTTGATATTTTTCTTCATAAGTCGTGTCAAGGGGCTGTTATACTTGAGAACCCTTCTACAAACCTACAATAATAACCTGTCATACTTAAGAAGCTTCTAATTTCCTTGATTAAGGTCAACTGCGTCCAACCCATCACTACATCGATCTTGTCGGGATTCACTAACACTCCATCCTTTGATATTATGTATCTTAGGAAGGAAGTCTACTCAAGCCAAAACTCACACTTATCAGCTTTGCATATAGTTTCTTTTCCCTGAGAACTTGTAAAAATTGAGTCAAATTTTAAGCGTGTTCATTTCTGTTTTTTGAGCAAACCAAGATATCATCAATGAAAATTATGACAAACTGATCCAAGAACGGCCTGAATATCTTGTTCATCAAATCCATAAAAATTGTATACGCATTAGTCAATCCAAACGGCATGACCAGGAACTCATAATGCCCATACCAAGTCTTAAAGGTCGTCTTAAGAATGTTTTATGCCTTAATCTTCACCTTATGGTATTCTAAACATAGGTCGATCTTGGAGAAATTTGGGTACCCTGTAATTAATCAAAAAGATCATCAAATCCTGGGGAGGGAGTACCTGTTTTTTATTGTGACCCTGTTTATTTCTCTGTAATCTATACACAATCTCAAGAACCCATCACTTTTTCTTGCGAATTTGACTCCGGCACCTAAGATATGTTATGTCGAATGAACCCATTATCCTGCAATTTCTTGATTTGTTTCCTCAATTCTTCCATCTTGACATGACTCATTCAGTATGGGGCAACCTAGATGGATTGGGTGTCAGATTAAACATCTATGATAAATTCGACTTCTCGATCAATTGGCAATCCTAGTAGCTCATCAGGGAATATGTATGGGAAATCTCAAACAACAAAAATATCTTGGACACAAATCTCTTTCTTAGGTTTGCCTAGCTTGGAAAAGAATAGCTAAGTTAAAGGCATTTGATAAACAATATAGTTAGCATGTGTGAACAATATCTAGAATTTTTTATTAATTTGTGAAAGACTCTCCGTTAGGAATGCTGAATACAAGCTTCTTATGGAAACAGTCCACGGTAGCGTGATATGCCGCTAACCAGTTTATTTCTAGAATTATATCAAAATCTTCAATGTCAAGTTCTATCAGATCTACGTTCAATTCCCTACATGTTATTTTTATGATATAAGCTTTGTATATAATATTTTTCAGTAATGTCTTATTCCTAGGTGTAGACACAAATAATACAGAATCAATACTTTCATGAAATACATTTAAATTTGGAGTAAAAACATGTGAAACAAAAGAATGTAAAGCAACAGTATCAATCAAAACATATGCAAGGTGGTATAAATAGTATACGTACCTTATATCACATTCAAATTGGCTTTAGCATCCTGCTGGGTGAGTGTGTAGACTCTACCCTAGACTACGGGTCTAGTCTGATTCTGATTTCGTGAACACTCTCTCACGTAGTGCTGGGTACTCCAACATATGCAGCAGGTGTTATTGAGGTGATAGCAAAGTCAATCTCTATGATTCTTGCCACAGTGCTGGCAAACCTTGTCGCGTCCTACTATCAGGGCATGGGGAGGAACTTGAGTTATGGCCTTGGTCTCTTGTTCTGCTAGTTCAGTGCAGTGGGTGCTGGCCTACGAAGCGGAACTAGGGGCTTGGAGTTGCCCACTACTGGAGAAAAAATGTAGAGGTTCTCCTCTATCAACTCTGCCCTGGCCAAGATCACGGAATAAATGCTAAGTTCGAAGACATACAACTGTTGTTTGATCTCAGAATGAAGACCTCATTCAAATCTTCTTGCCTTCCTACCTTCGTCTATCATGCTCTTAGGGGAGTACTAGCCTAACTTCAGAAATTTTTAAGCATATTCTAATACTGACAACTCTCTCTGAACCAGGTGTACGAACTCTATTTTCTTTAAATGTCAGAGGTGTTCTGGAAGATACTCAGCATTAAAAGTTGTCAAAAACTGTTCTCAGGCGACTAGAGTGGGTAAAGTAGCCTACTTCAGTTGCTACCAACACCCTGCCTCACCTATGAGCATGTAAGTAGTAAGGACAATCTTCTGTTTAGGAACTACTCCAATAGTCACGAAGGCCTTCTCTGTCTCTGCTAACCAGTACTCAGCTTCTTCAAAAGTGGATACCCATGCAAAAGTGGATTGATCAAGTCTCTTGTACCTTTTGATATAGCATGGGTCCATCATGGGCAGAGCTAGATCCTGTTGAAGGGGAACGAGATTATGTTGGAGAGGGACCGGGTGGCCTTGTAGCGGTACCGAGTTATATGGTGGAGGGATCGGGTGGTCTTGTGACAGTACCGAGTTATATGGTGGAGGCACCGGATTGTACTGCGGCGGT